AAGTTGACGGCGCCACCTCAAATAAGGGGGTGCGGCTTTTCAAAAGCAGAAAAACCTAAATAATATATTTCCGTATGCAATCACTAACTGTGCTACATTAATACAGAATACAAATTATAAATGAATAAATACCAGCGCGGTTGCGGTTGTTATCCTGGTGCCGCCTGATGCTCCCACTACCAAATGTACCTTATTTGAATTATCTAGAAATATAGAAGGGCACATAGAGGACATGGGTCTTTTTCCAGGCTTGATGAAGTTAGAGGGTGACGCGGGAACTCCGAACGTATTCACCGTACCAGGTGTGGAAAAATCATCCATCTCATTATTGAATATAATGCCGGTCCGCGTCCCTCGAACTTTAGATCCAAAACTGGAACAAGATGAAGAGTTTGTCAGTATAATGATTATAATATGGTTATTAATGAATACATGTTTGCTAGTTATAGGCCCAAATAATTCATCCTACAAACCAATCCTTATGTTGGTCACTCAAAACATTCGTGTTTTTTAGTTTTGGTTTAAATAAAATTCGTTCGCTTACCCTCTACTATGCGAACGTGGTGATGATTAGTTTTCATTCCATTTCATCTATTTATTCGACCAACATTTATAACTACAGTGACAATAAAATACAATATATGAAAATAATTGAAATGCTGGACAAGGGTACCTTAAGCAAAGTACGGTACATTGCTATAACTCAGATGAGCCAGCTACCCCTTAAAATAACAATATGGCCACTGCAGTTTCATATAATTTTCCATAACATAGATATATTTAGAAACCCCTTAAATGTGAAATTAAACAGCAGTACTGTTAATTGGTATGGGGAAATATTTTGACTTCTCTCCATCATTTTCCTTGGAAAACGTTTTAGTTTGCACTAAAGTTAAATTTAACATGGTTTGCAATAAGAGGCCTACAATATAACATATTTTTTTCAGGGGCAGCTAAAGCGAAGTGTTACTGTAACTTATTGAGAGCCAAAAAATCGACTGTGCTTGACGAAAATCGACTGTTTGTTAACCGATTAAATAAATGCATTGGCAAAGCAACAATTGCGTTAATATTTAGTCTACTTCATTTCAAAATCTGCATTGCATGCAATTAACGATGTCTTACTATGTGTTAATTGTACTTGTTACTGCCACTGCCATTCCGTTTTCGTCAACAATTGAAAGGTGGGATGTCCCATGGTCCTCCACGTTTCCAAAAAGTGGTTCATAGTATGAAGTATTATGCGTATAGTCTGTTATCATTTGTTGCAACTCTTTGGCATATACATCTGACGTCATATTTTCGACGAGCTAATAATCATAATGGTAAAATATTATTTTTTTTAGAAATCACTTAACTTTTATTACACAAGATCTCATTATAAAATAAACAATTTATAACGATTGAGACAATTAAAGCCAACATGGGCCACGGCGTAAGAAAGTACAAAACAGAACATGTCATTTTACTCCCTTTATCATTTCAACTACAATAAATTATAATTATAATAATTTGAAAGAATATAAATACCTCTTTAACGTCGACATAATCCTGATCACCCAGCGCTGACCGTTTAGCGTACGCGAATTTGAATGCCTCTACGATACGATGATACGTTTTTACAGTATCCTTTTCATAACTATTTACATTAAGATTATATTCTAAAGAAAAGAAAAGAATTGCTGTGTTAAAGTTAACCACTTTTTACCAAGATTTTGAGAATAAAGGTGTATGGTTTTTTTTTGGCACTAAATTTATCCTTACTCTGCTGTGTTTCAACAGGAAGTGAATATACCATGGACCTATTAATAGGTCCATGAATATACTACTCACCTTAGCTATATAGGCCTAATGATGATAATATAGTAAACATGTATTATTAAATTTAGCCAAGTAAAAATAATAATAATAATAATAATAATAATAATAATAATAATAATGATAATATTGATAATGATGATGATGATATCCAAGTACAAAAACAACAGCAACATCAACAACATTCAGGGGTGGCCGAGGGATAGGATCTCTCGACGGGGAAAACTGGCTCCCCCACCCGACATCCCCCGTTGGGGAGAAAAACCACAATTTGTGGGGAGAATTTTGTGTATATTCTACATACTGTAGACTCTAAAATCGATTAAAAATGCCTTTGAAACCCCTAAATTCTCATATTTTTTAGGGTCTCGCCCAGGACCATTGTATTGAGCGACGTCCTACCACCCACTTTGCTCTAGTCGGGGACGTTGCCCCCTCCCTTCGTCGGGGATATTGGAGTTCAGAACCACCCCACCCCCCACCATCGGGCAAATCCTGGTGTCACCCCTGACAACAATGATGGTGATAATAGTGATGAAGGTGGAGACGATTATGATAATCATGGTATAGTGATAATGATATTGATTCACATTATCATTATTAGTATTATTAGACGGGTGGCCATCAGATTGAAAGTGCTCAGACATGTTTTTCGTAGGCATTATTTGTTACAAGCTGACAACAAGATGAATTCTTATTACAGGCTTTTGGCTCACACGAAATGGGCTGTTGCTGAATTTTAGTGACCAAGCTAAACAACATAATTTTAATAGTTTATGATACCAAATACAGTACTGTATATTCAAATTGAATCTTCTATAGAGTCATTCCATATGAATCCAACACACTTTTTCGCCCGACCCCCTTCAAATCGCCCAATATTTTGCATGTTGGGGGTTCTACCTGAGGTAACCCCACAGTGAAATTTTTGGCTCGGCGCCAGCTTTTTTTGATGTGTTAGAGCAATTTGAAATTTTCATGAGATTTGGCTAAAAAAGTCAATATATTGATAGGTTTGTTTCGCCTACCAAATTAAATAAACAAATTGTACTGTTAGGAATAAGTAAACCAAATAGCGAAGCTTTCAACCATATTTTGTTACTCGTAAAACAATTTATTTATGCAAAAAGGTTCTCAGGGACTTAAAATGTTTCTGAGATCAAAAATATCAATAGAGAAAGGTATAACAGAAAAAGACCATTTTATTAAGAAATGAAGTTCTTTTACTTCATTACTAAAGGAAATTAATATTGCATAATTTAATTTTTATCTGCCCGTCACCACAATCGTTTTTTTGTTCTGTAACTTTTGTTTTCATTTGGAATTTAATATGATGTACAAGTTTTACAAATACTTGTGATTATAATTTTAAAACTCGGTAGCTTACTGCGTTGTATTTAGTCCCAAATAAACGTCTATTGTGAGATTTTTTTTATTGCGCTTGTGCATGGTACTACGAGGTCAAGGTCATGTACAAGTTTTAGAAATACTTGTGATTATAATTTTAAAACTCGGTGGCTTACTGCGTTGTATTTAGTTGTATGTGTATTTCTACTATTGGTAGACCTTAAATCGATTAAAAAAGCCTTTAAACCCTCTAAATGTGATACTTTTCGGGAAGCACCATGGAACACTTTTGAGGGATTTTGAGCTACGCCCGACCACGTCCACTTTTTTGTCTGGGAAATAGCTAGAGCATGAACAAGTTTTAGTTGCGTCTTCGTTAAAGAAGCGTCTGATTTGCCTAATAACCAAAACAGTAGATAGAGAGAGTTTGGCCAACTCGGTTTCAATCACGTGACTTACACCGGCCATGTTGTCACCAAAACAAAACAACGCGATAGGGTAGGAAGTTAGCAGTTATTTTAGATGATTAATGCTATATAATGTGAAATACCGTTATGTTGGGTTTGGGGTTGCTGCAATCGATCCAACAAAGAAACAAAAATTCATTAATTTTCTTAAATTCCAAAAAGGAGGAGGATTTGGGATTATTTTAACTTTGCATGGCGATCGAAAAATCTCGCTATCCACGTAGGCATAGTCTAGTAAATTATCAAGTGTACCGCCCGCCCCACTTCGCGGTAATATATATCCACCTACTACTACTAGGCCTAGACAGGCCTAAATGTTGGTACTTCTTTGGCCGAACACCTTAAGGTAGTACTTAAATCAGCTTAATTACGATGATAATAAAAAAAAAAAAGGAAGAATTTTCAAGCAGCAATGATTTATAAAAAGATGCAATGTTGCGCTTTGCTGTTAAATTATATACCGGTAACTAATTTCCAGAAAGCTACATGAAGTATCGGTCAAAGGTAGCTTAAATTTTAATTAAAAATAAAAATTGAATCCTCCAATAAAAGCGAAAACTTGTCCAAGGAGTCCTGTGCTATGCAAACATGCCCAATTGTGCTTTACAAATCAATTAATTGTGCAACTAAAGATTTTAAAGATAAAATATATTTTAAAGACATAGGCCTAGGCTATTGTATTATATTGATTATTTTAATATATATTTTAAATCAAAACGTTTAAATGTTTTACAAATTACAAATCAAAATTTCAATGAATAGTAAATAATGAATAATAAATAATAATAATAATAATAAATAATAATACAGTAATAATGATAATATTATAACTCATTAATATTATAAACAGAAGTGTGGAGAATGCTGCTATTTTACTTACAAGGCCTAGCTTCTTGATTATGAATGATTAGGCATATGTTGTACAAAAATTTCTCTCAATGCAATAATTCTTCAACTTTATTATTGTTTAGATTACAATTTACAAATAGACCTAGGCTATTTGTTGGTTTGAAGATGACCGGCATAGGCCTATTTTATTTCATAAATTAAAGTTTACGAAGTCATTGTCATAGGCCTAAATACAATTATAAAACTTTCATGTTATTAATATTTTTATCATTCATTTACAGGCGAAATTAACATATTATCGCCGACGATTCACAAACCTACTCTGTCTGCACAACCACCATTCTCCTCTGCAGTGTTGACTCTAGTCTTAGGAGCCTCATGCTATAATAGAGTAGGCTGCTAGCAACAACTAGGGCCTAGGTATAGGCCTAGGCCTAGGGGCCTAGATGATAGACTTTCAAAATAAAAAGATAATCGTAACGAAAAAAAATAAAGAATCGTCCTCACTTTATCTTCTCGAAATAATAGAGCACATCACTGATTTATTAATTCCAAAGTTAGGTAAATATGATTATACAGTTGATATTTACAATGATATGTTAAAATCCCATAATTGAATTGTCCTCATGAACAGAATAATGAAAGAAAGTTTATGCAGCATCAGTGTTTTATAAAATGTTATAAAGCTATACTCTCTCTATCTACGGCTCTGGGCAGAGCCATATATATAAAGAGTTGCGACATTCTGCTCCTTGGTTTACGAAAGTCACGTGGTACAC